AGAAATATTTAATCTTCTGGAGTTCTACTCACACATTTAATGGCAAATGTGAAAAACATTTTATGACTTCCAATAGTTAGCAGTAGTCGTCTACGACAGACACATAATACTCAGACCGGTGATGGGCACCTAGGGGTGGGCAAGGGGAAAAATATATCGATATATATATCGATTCGGTATTTTTATGCAGTATAGATATATATCCCGTGATAAATATCGATATATCGTCATCATTTGCATGATGTAAGGATAAGGCACAAAATTTTATATTACTGACGGTTGGACGACGAAATAAATACGACAACCACACATGAATGCTATTGTAGCTCTTTAAAATATATAGAAATTGATACGACTTCGTTATTCTAAAATAAATATCGATATATTATTGCGAAGAAGAATAGCGACGATATAAATCGATACATCGCTATTTTTATGCCCAAGCATATGGGCAGCACTCAGTGTAGAAGGTGCCAGAGGTCAGCTTCTGCGGTCGTCAATCCACTTGTCAGGCGATTTAAGGCAAGTCTTCTCTAATACTTAGATGTGGACTTTCATAGGCTCTTAAAAAAAAAGAGGAAGAAACACATCATCATGGGAACTTTTGTCATGCTATTTTTTTTTTCAAAAAATCTAAAATATTATTTTTTCGAGAATGGTGAAAATATTAGATGAATCTTTTCTTTGTGCCCCGGTGACCTTTGACTTATAAACTTATAATCTTATATAATATTGTAGCAGGTGACGACAGCGTGGTTTAGTGGTAAGAGTACCTATTGGCTTCTTTTCCACGGATCCTGGATTCGAATTCAAATCGGAGTCAACAATTATTTGTGCAAAAATTGTAGGTCTTGCCAACCTTACGCTTCATAGCAGAAAAGCAACTTGAGTTCGACCTGCATCACCATAAATGTTATTGGTTGTAACGGTTTTACTACGGTATTTACTATGTAGTGTCGGTGTCAGAATGTCTAATACGCCATATAATCTCGTAGGTGTCGTAAGAGGCGACAGACGGAATCAAATCAGGAGATGGGCAGAGGCGTTCCTATCATCATCATTACAGCCCTTCACAAGTCCACTGCTGAACATAGGCCTCCCCCAAAGAATGCCACAAAGCACGGTCCTGAGCCACCTGCATCCATCGACTTCCTGCATGTCTTACCAGGTCGTCACTCCATCTCGTGGGGGGACGCCCTACACTTCACCTACCGGTACGAGGTTGCCACTCGAGAACCTTTCTTCCCCATCGGTTGTCGGTTCTTCGAGCCATATGGCCGGCCCACTGCCAGGCTATGTCGGTTATTCTGGTTCTACTGCGGATATCCTCATTCCTAAGTTTATCACGCAGAGAAACTCCGAGCATAGCCCTCTCCATAGCTCGCTGAGCGACCTTGAGCTTCCTCATACGGCCAGCAGTGAAGGACCACGTCTCAGTTACGTAAGTCATCACTGGCAACACGCACTGGTTGTACAATTTCGTTTTAAGGTTTTGAGGTATGTCTGACGAGAAGATGTGTCGTAGCTTCCCGAACGCTGCCCAGCCGAGTTGAATCCGTCGATTGACCTCTCGGTCAAAGTTGGACTTACCTAGTCGGACTATTTGTCCCAGGTAAACATACTCGTCAACAACTTCGAGCTTAGTGCTCCCAACAACTACCGGCATAGGTGTGACATGGACATTAAACATAATCTTTGTTTTGTCCATGTTCATCTTAAGACCTATCCGTTGGGAAACACTATTGAGGTCATTGAGCATAGTGCTTAGGCCCTCCAGCGATTCTGCCATAAGGACTATATCGTCGGCAAATCGAAGGTGAGTGATGTACTCGCCATTGATGTTGATACCGTATCCTTTCCAGTCCAGAAGCTTGAAAACGTCTTCCAATGCAGCGGTGAAGAGTTTCGGGGATATGACGTCACCCTGTCTTACACCTCTCTGCAATTGGATAGGTTTCGTACTCTGGTTCTGTACTCGGATAGCCATCGTAGCCCTACTGTACAAGCACTTCAACACTTCGATATACCGACAGTCAATTTGGCACCGCTGAAGGGACTGCAGCACCGCCCAAATTTCGACGGAATCAAAGGCTTTCTCATAGTCCACATACGCCAGACATAGTGGCAAATTGTACTCTTCGGACTTCTGTACAACTTGCCGAAGGGTATGTATGTGGTCTATGGTGCTAAAGCCCTTTCGGAAACCGGCTTGTTCGGGAGGCTGGAAGTCGTCAAGTCTGCGCGCGAGACGATTCGTAATGACTCTCGAAAACAGCACGTAGACGCGGCTCAGAAGGGAAATCGGTCTGTAGTTCTTCAAGAGAGCGTTGTCACCTTTCTTGAAGAACAAGATCACCGCACTTCTGCTCCACGCCTCCGGTGTAATGCCACCATGGAGGACGGAATTAAAGAGCTTCTGAAGGACTTCAAGTACCGGTCTTCCACCCGCTTTCAGAAGCTCCGCTGTAATTCCATCCTCGCTTGGGGCCTTACCGTTTTTAAGGTGCTGGAGAGCCATTCTAATCTCGCTCAGACTGACGTCCGGGATATCTTCGGAATAGTGTCGGATGAGACTCGCTCTTGGATCGTTACTCACACTTGCGTGTGGCTCCAACGATGACGTGTACAGCTGCCCATAGAACCTCTCAATCTCACTCAAAATCTCAGGTGTCCCGGAAACGATGCTGCCACATTCCGTCTTCAGCTTTGACAGTTGGCCCTTTCTGGCAGACAGATCTCTGGCAAAGACTTTGGAGCCTTGGTTCCGCTCGATCGCTTCTTCAATACGAGCTGTATTGAAGTTGCCTAAGTCCCGCCGCATGCATTTGGAGATCTGTCTGTTCAGATGCCTGTATGCTGTCAAGTCTGTTGAAGAATGTAGCTTCATCTCCCGTCTAACAGCCATGAGATTAAGAGTGTGATCGGAGAGTTTTTGTGTTCTTCTGCGGCGGGTCTTGCAGAACTTAGCTCCGACCGCATGGACAGTTTCCACGAGCTTGTCATTTATATCGTCCACTTCATTGCAGTCTTCTAGGCACTGAAATCGGTTTTGTAACTCGAGCTGAAAGGTTTCGGGACTTTGGAACAGAGCACGAGGGGGACGGAGCGTTGACTTCATTAGACGAGACCTCTCCAACTTAACGTTTAGGTTCAGTGTGCCTCTAACCATTCGGTGATCGCTACCAGTTTTCACCCTCGCGATCACGGAGACATCACTGAACAGTTGTCGTCTGGTCGTCATAATGAAGTCAATCTCATTTTTTGTCGAACCGTCGGGGCTCGACCAGGTCCACTTCCTGTGGGGCCGCTTCTGGAAGAAAGAGTTCATCATAAAGAGTCCCTCTTTCTCCATGAAGTCGGCCAGCTGCTGGCCCCTTGGGTTCCGTTGCCCTATTCCAAATTTCCCTACTTTCAGCTCACCGTTCTCTCTTGTGCCTAGTTTTGCATTGAAGTCTCCCATTAACACCGTATATTGGGTTTTGGAGGAATGCATGGCTCTAGAGATATCCTCATACATTTCCTCCACCTCCTGATCGGGGCGTGCCGAGGTTGGTGCGTAAACCTGTATGACCTTCAGCGAATACCGTTTGGTGATTCTGAGTATAAGGTACGCAACCCTCGTCGACACACTCCCGATCTTTACAACGTTGTTGACGAGAGACTTGTGGACGATAAATCCGACACCTCCTTGGGACAGATGGTCGCCCTCCCGGTGATAGAGCAAGTTGCCGGATTCGAGGATTACCGTGTCCTCCCCCTCTCTTCGGACTTCGGATAATCCTATAATATGCCAGCGCAACTTGTCTATCTCTTCTTCCAGCTCCACGATCTTCTCGTCAGTCCTCAGGGTGCGTGCGTTGTACGTTGCCAGGTCGAGTCGTCTAAGGTGGCAACCGAACCTCCACCGGAGATTCTTAGCACCCCCTGCCCCGCCGTTACCATGGTCGCCACCGTAGCCAGGAATAGCGGGGCCGCCGGGGACTGGGGGCCGTCTGTTTGTTGCTTTAGTTATTGGGGGGTATTTGCCATAGTTGCCACGCTTGGCGAGCGGGTTGGCAACCGCAGTTTTTTTATTATTATTTTGGCTATTATCAGGAAGATGCTGCTGCCCATCTTCTGCCTGTTTCCCTTTGTCGCCTTTTACGACACCCACGGGAGGATATGGGGTAGTGGATATTCTTGACCGCCACTACACTACAGGCGTTCCTAATAACGACTAAAATATTAATTGCCAACCCGCTTGCCAAACGTAGCAACTATGGCAAATATCCTCCTAAGAGGTAATCCACGGGGGATCCTAAGAGGTAATCACAGGGGAGAGGCACTTATGGGAACTGTGGAAGAAATGGAAATGCAAATTTTAAATGAAGGTACCGTACCAACTTTCTTCACAATTAGAAATGGGGAAATCTATAAAAGCAGAGTCGATGTTACCCTATGTACTCAAGATCTTTTAGGTAAAATAACTGAATGTCAAGTCAACACTGATATTACTAGCTCAGACCATAATGCAATTACGTTTAACTTAAATTGGAAGATACCAACTCCTAATAAAAACAATCTAAAAACAACTAGAATATATAACACAAAAAAGGGAACTGGACAGCATTCAAAGAAAATATGGAAAATAATCTAAAAATTAATAGGATAAACAAGAACAGTATTAGAATCATAAGAACTAAACAGGAATTGGATAAAAGTATAAACAAATACATAAAAATCATAGAAGATGCCTGCGAAAAAACAATCCCTAAAATAAAAAATAGAATAAATAATCGAAATGACTTACCTTGGTGGACCGAATAACTGGAGACACTCAGAAGAGATACAGTGCAAAAGAAAAGGAGGATATCTTGCGCAGCGCCACGTCGCAAAAGATACGTTGTGGACGAGTACCTGAAATCAAAAGAAAAATATGAATTATGAATTATAAACGCACAGACGCAAAGTTGGAAAAAGTTCTGCAGTACCCAAGATAGAGAAAGCCTCTGGGATGGGATATGGATGGGATTTATAGGATTATACGAAGAACATATAAAAGACAACCAGATGTAACAATAATTAAGGACGGAGATGCCTTAACTCCTGAAGGATCAGTGGAACTTTTGGCAAATACTTTCTTCCCAGATGACAAAGCAGTAGATGATAATATCGACCGTCAGATAATTAGAACTCTAGTAGCGGATGAAACTCAGACCTTTCCAGATGACGAAGATGACCCCGAATTCACAATATCCGAACTCAGAAATACTGTGAATAGCTTTAATCCCAAAAAAGCTCCGGGGCCAGATGGGTTCACAGCGGACATTTGCTCTAGGGCAATAGCTGCGAATGAAGAGGTTTTTCTAGAAATTCTAAACAAGTGCCTAGAACTATCATATTTCCCTACCCCATGGAAGGAAGCTGCAGTGGTTGTTCTGAGAAAACCTGGAAAAACTGATTATGCTCAAGCTAAATCATACCGGCCAATAGGACTGTTGTCTACTTTAGGAAAGATAATGGAAAAAATGATGGTTAAAAGGATCCGTTGGCACATTCTTCCTCGGGCTAATTGCAGACAGTATGGATTCATACCACAAAAATGCACTGAAGACGCTCTCTACGATATGTTGACTCATATTGTAAATAATATGAGAAAAAAATTTATTAACATAATCGTCTCCCTGGATATCGAGGGTGCTTTCGACAGTGCATGGTAGCCTGCAATAAAATGCAGATTGCGAGAGAGGAAGTGTCCGCGAAATCTTCGGAGATTGATGAACAGCTATCTGGAAGACAGAAAAGTTCGAGTCAGGTATGCGAGCAAAGAATATATAAAGGTGACAAATAAGGGATGCATACAAGGCTCAATTGGAGGCCCAACGTTTTGGAATATCTTATTGGACCCACTATTGGATGAATTAGAGAGGCGCGGGATTTACTGCCAGGCATTTGCGGATGACATCGTTTTAGTTTTCTCTGGAGAATCAGTCACGGAGCTAGAAAGACAGGCCGACCAGACGCTTACCTATGTAGAGGCGTGGGGTATTAAAAATAAACTAAAATTTGCGGTGCATAAAACCAGTGCCATGGTTGTTACTAAAAAATTGAAATTTGAAACTCCGTGGATCCACATGGGTGAAGTTGAAATACAAATGGTTGACCAAATTAAAATGTTAGGACTAATAATTGATAAAAAATTAACCTTCCAGCAACATGTTAGTTACGTCTGCACAAAAGCAACCAACATTTATAAACAGCTGTCGAGTAGCGAAAATCTCCTGGGGGCTGAATCCGGAGATAAAAGAACGATGTACGTCGCAGTAGTAGAGCCTGTTATATCATATGCTGCTGGAGTTTGGGGAGAGGCAGCAGGTAAAATTTCAATTCAAAAAATGCTGAATGCAGTCTAAAGAGGTTTCGCACAAAAGATAGCAAAAACATACCGCACAGTCTCCCTCAATGCAGCACTGATCCTTAGTGGACTTCTTCCGCTAGACTTGCGTGTCAAGGAGGCATACGAGCTCTATGCAGCTAAACGAGGGAAATCACAGCACATCTTAGAGGATAGGAGGATAGAGGAGAGAGCTTGTTACTTAAAATATTTACACCCGGCGCAAGAACCTGATATTGATTTTCAATGTCTGGAGGACATGGAGCCCTACACCAGGACACTACATAGTATCAGCGGTCCAGAAGTATATACCGATGGAAGTAAGTTAGATGGAAAGGTGGGGGCTGCATTGACTCTATGGGAAGACGGTGCTGAGATTACAAGCAGGAAGTACAAGCTCGAATCGTTCTGCACGGTTTTTCAGGCAGAAATGTTTGCGCTTTACCAAGCAACAAACATTGCACTGAAAAGTAAATGGAGAACGCTCAATATTTTCAGTGATTCACGATCATCACTAGAGCTTCTGAAAAGCCAGAAATCCTTCCACCCTCTTGTGGTAAATATAAGGCAGAACATTAAGACCTTGGCGGATAAAGGAAAAGAGTTAGATTGTTTTGGATCAGAGCACATAGAGGCAATGAGGGAAACGAGAGAGCGGATCAGTTAGCGAAACAAGCGGTGCACAAAAAGACAGCACCGGATTATGACCTATGTCCATTGTCATATATATAAAAAAATAGACATGACAGCTTACAAACGTGAAACGATAGGTACATCAAAACAGCAACAGCGGAAGTTACCAAGCTCTTCTTCCCGAATGCAATACAAGCGCACCAGATTAAAAAAAAAATAAAACTTACCCCTGTGCTTGTGCAGGTGCTGACGGGTCACGGTGGATTCGGCCAGTACCTGCATAGGTTTAAATGTAAAGATAATCCCGCATGCAAATGTGACCCTGATGTCGAAGAGGGGATAATCCATTTAATAGTAGATTGTCCAAAATACAGCTTAGCCAGAAATGAAATTGAAATAAAAATAAAAGAAAGAGTTCGAAAAGATAATTTGCCGGAAATAATGAAATCTAATAAAAAAATATATTTATAGACTATTTATGTAAGATAGCCATAGAAACTATAGCAAGAAATAAGACTGCATAGTACTGTTGTAGAAATAAGGTAGATATAGGAACATAGAATAAGAAAATTTTGTAAGATTATATATGTTGTATATATACTACTTGCAAAAAGAATATTGCAAAAGAAAAAAAAAAGGAAAAAAAAAACAAAAAAAAAATAAGAAAAAGATCGAAATAAAAAGTTGTAAATAGTCTAGTATATATAGAAAAAATGTAAAACCATAAGAAAATATGTTAAGTAGTCTTAATGTAGTATAAGAATATGTACATCAGGGTCACCGGTGTATGCAAATGTATACACTGAGCCCGTCTAACAGAAAAAACCTGGAATGAAAAAAAGAAGATATTCCAAAAATGTTTCGCTATGCAATGTCTCTGACCAGTGTCAGAGGGGAATAGAAAAGAAAATCCACGGGGGATGCCTATGTTCAGCAGTGGACTTTAATAGGCTGCAACGGTAAAGGTAGCGGTTTTACTACGCACTCGGCTGTAAAGGAATGCATGAGAAAAGCTATAGTTGTAAGTGTAAGTAATCGAAAAAAATATATATTTCCAGTACCTGAGAACGTGCCGTATTCTTAAATATTTTATAAATGAAAAACTATAGAAGAGACAGCCCTTGGATCATAAAAAAATATAAGCTCATTGCAATTATATATAATTATGTTGTCGTTGAAATATTTATAGGACCATGGTTATACTTACTCTGTAAATAAAGAAATTCTCAGTAACTGCCCGGAGTCAGGAAGATGGCGGTGTCTCACCCCCGTGCCTCGGAAAGCACGTAAAGCCGTTGGTCCTGCGCCTGATCTCTCTCCGATCGTGTCGGTTTACTGTCCCAACGGACTATGAGAGTGAGGGAATAGAGAGTGCACCTGTGCTTGCGCATTCACTTGGGCACTATTATCCTGTCCTGCGCCGATGGCTAGTCTCCGTTGAGGCTGGCTGCCGTGACCGCAATTTGGTCTGGAGGACATTATTATTATTATTATTATCCATTACTACCTATAAAGGTCCCCTTTTGAACACAGGCCTCCACCATAGATTGCCTCAGAGAGATTTTGCCAAAGATGCCACACTTGAGACGGGTCCGAAGTTATTTATAATTTTGAGTTCACAAGAAGATGGTGCCGCCCGTCTCTTGTTTCAGTTTCCCTCTGACGTCTCTCACGACAGCCGCATTATGATATGTGGTAGTGAATATTTTTACACTGCAACGACACGGTATTATAAAAAAATATTGCCAAATTCATAACCTCGTTTTTTGAAATAAGGTTAAAATCCTGTGGATTATTCCGGTATCTTAGTTTTTTTCAATACGCGCGGGCAAGATGCCCATGCTAAAAATAAGTATTGTCACAAAACCATCCGTATAATTAAACGTCTCAGCACCTTTACCCCAATTACGTTATTTTTTTTCCATTTAATGGCGGTTTTATCGAATTTTTGTTGACCCGGTTCAATTCGAAAGTTACAGTTATATTTATTTGGTATTTGGATATCAATGCTCCATATTGAATGGAATTTGTTTCTGTCACTTGTACACCTCTGCGATTGGCTCTTAGTGCATCTTTGTAGCATCATGCAGCAGAGTCTAGATTATGTTGCGTTTGGGCCACGAAAACAGTGTGTCCTATAACTTTAAAACAATAAAATGTTTTATTACGTGATATATGCAGTCAATATATACTAGTGATATTTTAGCGGCTCTAAAATATAATTATTCTTTTTTTTATAGAATAAGAGTGACGAACGAGCACACAGTTCTTGTTGTTAGTTATCTTGGATTGAGAATTAAAATGTAGATGTGTTGACACCCCTGAGAAACTAAGATGGGATGCCTCGTTTCCTGAAAAAGAGCCTCCGAATCTCTACAATCACCATACCGAAAAACAGCAACAGTAGCTGCTACTTTTCACTGTCATTTTGTAAGAGCGTGGTCCTTCAACCATACTAAAGCTGCGGTATGGGTCCGTGGAGCGCAAGCCCACGCCGCTATCGTATTGAGTTTTCCGCACATAGCAGAATTGTGGACTGTAACACTTTAGTTACGTGTATTATGCTTTTTAGATGATCATAGTTTCTAAATCACCCAAATCGGTCCAGAAATTATGAAATTATTACAAGTTTTCTAAACGCTTAGTATAAAACACGGCGCTCGCCGGCAGCCACGAGCGATGACGTCATCATTCACTCTCGCTCTGCTCGCGTTGAACTCTCATTATTTACGCATTCAATCTTAATAAAATTCACTGTTTGCGGTTGTAAACTACCTACCTGTTTTGAAATTAAATGTGTTTAAGGTTATTTATAATATTAAGATAATTTTAAAATAACATGGAATCCGGATTTGTCAAAGTTCAATCTGACAATCTTCCGAAAACTTCCGAATGTGAATCGGAAAACCTTCCGTGATGCTTTTATGGTGGACGAATTTTACAGAAATAATGCTAAATATTCCAGTGCAGAAATACGTGGAGACAAAACAAACAGGTAAGAGTATATATTAAATAGGTACTTAGTGTAGCTATCATTTCACATCATTATCAGTATGATACTTATTTAATTTTATAGGTAGTAAACATGTACTTACTTACTAAATGAATTTTGTGTGAAATGTTTCGATTATTAAAAGATTAAGATACCGAACAGCGGGCTGCGGCTGGCCAAGAGTAGGAACGAAGCGTATAATGACGTCACGCGAATGGCGCGTTATTTTAATTGGGTTTGTAGAAACCGCTCCACTAAAAACGCAGTAACTTCGTCATTTTTAGTCGGATCCAGATAATGTTATCACTGTAGGTAGATTAATCAGTTTCATATTTCTACATACTCAGTTAAATTAACGCGAAAGTTCATTTCCTAGATTATTCGATGGTTAACGTAAGTATTATTTATCCGTGATAATCAATGACTAGATTCCTAAACATAAGGCATAACATTAAATGTTGGAGAAAGAGAATTTAACATTTTGTAAATAGAAATTTTCTAACATGATGTGTAGATTGAAAGATTTATAGCTTCAAATGAAACTCCTTTCTTTCTCATTTGAATGTATTTTAATTGAAATATTTTCGGAACAACAAAATAGAAAATGTGAAATAAAATACAAATATTTTCGCACACTTTCTTCCCCGCTCGTTTCCTAGCCTAGTAAAAAGCGATTCCGGCGAAAGTAGCCCCTCTAAAGTCAAGTTCAATAACACAGCATAACAGTACCTCTTCAGCCTGCGCACGCGCACCATTGCGCACTGAGATTTTACCGTAAAGGAATAAGATCCCATCAAGAGATAGTTGTGATAGTCAAAAATCTTAGAAGCTCTTGCAAATTTTATTAAGTTCAGTTATAAATATTTATTCGTTGATAGTAAATGGATTAAATATGAAGCATCTTATATTTTTAGCTGTACTATGTTGTGTGATACCGGTTGTAGTTCCGGCTAAATATCTACCAAAATGGAAGAAACAGGTGAGATTTTTTCATATAAAATGTGCCGCCACTCTTGCTTTTTCAGCTTTTCTCGTTGTTTGTTATATACTCGTATAGGTAGTAAATAAAATATATTTCTCTGTAAGTAAGGGTAACGCACAAGCACCTAGTCGGTCTGATAGTAACCGAATGCTGTGGCCTATAGACATACACCTACCGTGTAGTGGCGGTGTAAGTATATCTGTTTATACGTGGTAGAGCCATGCTGCAGCTATATCAATAGTATAGTTGTAGCACGAACGGGTCGGCTCAACCGGGGAAGGACCACGCTCTCAGCATACCAGCGTAAAATAGCAACATAAAGCTGCTGTGTTTCGTGTGCTGAGTGTAGATAAGCGGAGACCCTTTTGGAGAGTGTCGACGCATCTGCATCTTGATTCGCAAACGTGGAGAATTGTAGATGTCTATGGGCCACAGTACCTATTTACCATCAGGTGGACTGTGTGCTTGTTTGTCAACCTTATACTATAAAAAAAATCCACTACCCTATATAGTAGTCTCGTGGGTGTCGTATTTTTTTAATAGGAGAAGGTTGACAAACAAGTACACAGTCCACCTGATGGTAAGTAGTTGCTGTGGCCTATAGACATCTACATCTATCCTCGATTACGAATTAAAATGCAGATGCGATGACACTCTCCAAAAGAGTCTCTGGTTCTCTACACTCACAATATGACGAAACACAGCAGCTTTAAGCTGCTATTTTACGCTGGTATTCTGTGAGAGCGTGGTCCTTTCCCGGTCGTGCCGATGCATTCGTGCTATAACTATACCAATAATATAGTTGCACCATGGCTCTATCAGGTAAAATGGGACAGAGAGCAGCAGCGTCAATGCAAAAAATAAAAAAACTGCGCTCGCCAACCTGCCTGCCAAGCGTGGCAACTACGTCATATATCCCCTTTATGAGGCAATTTTAGGGGGCCTCTGTTGAGCAGTGGACTATAGACCAAAGGCTGTGATGAAATTGTCACATCTATTCTTGATTAAGGACTCTCATTATACGAAACACGGTACCATTATTACGCTTGACTGATTGACTTTACATTTGACGGCTCCGTAGTAAGGTGGCTAAACGTCTGGTCCCGGCGTTGCGGGGCCGTGGGTTCTAATCCCCCACGGAACAAATGTCTATAATAGTTCCTAGTCTGAATAAATGTATTTGCATAGTTTATGTAGGATAACCCTCTCCACGGTACAGAAAAAAATCCTACTGTGGGGTAACTTTTTTAAAAGATAAAAAGGATTAAGTTGAATCCTATTACGCCGCAACCAAACGGAACGTGTTTTAACATCTAAAGATTTGGAACTTTTATTGAAAACAAATGTAAATACTTATCTGATTATACATTAAATGTGGTAGAGCCATGTTGCGGGTGTAGTATGGCTACTACTACATGTATGGGTTTGTTCCACCAGGGATGCACTACGCTTTAACAGCATACCAGCGTCAAATAGCAGCATAGGTAATACTGTTGCTGATGACGACGAAACTGATGTGTAATAAACGCTGCTTTTCGTCATTGATTTTGATATTTCGAATTCTTACATACGGAAGCCATATAAATTTCTCAAAAGGGTGGAATTTGCAATATACTTGTTAGGGTTACTGAAGGTAGCACTAGGCGTCACGCACCTTTGACCCCATCTCCCATTACCGATCTGGGTAATTCCTTTATTACCCCGTTAATGTCCACTGCTGGACCAGGACCAGTAAATAAATTTGGGTGACAAATTTTCATACGCGGCTACACGAATACTGTTACAGCCTCTAAAATGTACACAGCTTAACGTAGGCCTCCCCCACAGACGGCTCCGTGGCGCAGTGGCTTAGCAATCACTTGTTGCGCTGGTGGCCGCGGGTTCGAATCCCGCACTGAACAAGTATTTGTATGGCCTACAAATTATTGTTCCGGGTCTGGATGTTTGTCCTTGTGCAATTTATATTTGTAAACTGCCTCCACGACACAGGAGAAAATCCTAGTGTGGGGGTAACGTTTTTTTTTAAAAAAAAACAAGTAAACAAGAATGCCTCATAGGGATCCCCCTATATTTGCCATAGTTGGCAGGTGGGTTGGCAACCGCAGTTTTTTTATTGCATGCCTCACAACGTGAGGGAGTGCTCTACTCTCGATATGTGGCCATACCTCAATTTCGCTACATAAAAGTTTTTATACATTTAACTGGATATCAAACACATATTTTTCTTAACGTTACAATAACTACAGACATTGAATTATAAGATTACTTTATTTTCTAATTGATTCACCTTCGATTACATAACAAAAAATGTAATTGAAAAAATATATGGACTGCCGTCCGTTGGTCTGTGCGTCGATGAGTCTTTTCGCTTAATAGAAATGAAATCAATAGATAAAGTATTAAATAAGATTCCATACATTCTAAGGAGGATCCATATTTGATTTTTGTTATTGAACCTTTTAAAAGTTATTTTAAGTAAGTAAATTTTTTTCATCAAATCTAAATGAAGTTTTGATGAAAAAAATAAAAACGCTCTTGAGGCGTACTCTTTTGGATTTTCCAAACTATTTTAGTTATAAATAAGAGGACGCAGCTGTCCATATCTTGCTTTGCTACCGTCTATAGTCTCTTACGATGGCCACGGGACGATATACACCGCCTCCACACGGTCTGCTGCCATAATTTGAGATACTTATACACACATCTCTCGGAAGCCACTCTATTACTTACTCTTATTTCTTTTCTCGGCTCATTCAATATCCTAGCCTGCGAGTGAGATCGGGTGATGGAGTTTTTTACCACCATATGGCGAATGTAACCAATGACAATTTAAACATTTATTTAAGAATATATATATCTGTATCTATCCTCGATTAAGGATAAAAATTCAGTTGTGTTGTCACCCTACAGGACTAAGATAGAATGCCTCCTTAGCAGTCCTATAACAACAAGTGGTAACATTAAAATTTTGTACAACCGACTTCAATATAAATAAAATGACAACATCATCAATGTAGTCGAAGTCAATTAAATACGCATTATTAAGCATAACTCAAAAACTACTGGTCAGATCTTGATCAAATTTTTATGGGACCACATGAGAAACACCAGCTCTCAAATAAAAGAATCATCAAAATCAATTCACATATAAAAGCGTTCTGAGGTAATAGACATCAAAAATACAGTCGAATTGAGTACCTCGTCTATACTCGTAGTTTGTTTGCTTAGATACGGTCGCCTTTGTGTTGCACCCCCTTGGCACGTGCCGCACCTTGTCAAATGCGCCACCGTGACATCAAAACACCCACAGGAGAATTTATAGAAAAACATTTATTTAACGAATACAGTAAAAAATAATAAAATAAAAGCAAAATACGAGTAATAAGTGCGCCTCCGGGTGTGTACCGACAGACCGACACTATCTTAGCGAACACAGTAGCGATAACAGCAAATCCTCCATTTTATGGAGAAGCTCCGATCTCTCGACTGTTTATACGCTGCACAGATATTGCAACTCATTATATTATAACAACTTATTTTTTATTATAATATTTATTTATGTATTACAATAACTTTCTAATTTCTCCTTCGATCATCAAACGCTGGAGTTGTTGTATTTGATTATTTTGATATTAAATAACATTTATAATTGACTAGCGTTCCGCGCCGGCTTCACACGGGTGATTTCTGGATCTCGACAACAGCATCACCTAACGGGTTCAAATGTAAATCTAATTAATCTAGGGACCCATTCAAAAACACAAAAAACATTATCAAAACAGTCAAGCCGTTTTTAAGATTAGCGAGACAAACGAACAGTAATTGATTTTTATATATAGAGATGAGCCACCTGCCTTGGCTTCTGAATGTGTTGTGTTATTTAGATTTAAGACAATTAAATACCATTTATTTATAGATTTTTCGTTTTTTTTTAAATAGGCCCTTTTTACTGGAAATGAGTCATTCCATCTTAGTCCTCACGGGTGACAACGCATCTACATTTTGATTTGTAATAGAGGATAGATGTAGATGTCTATGGGCCACAGCAAGTAGCAACCACTTACCATCAGGTGGACTGTGTGCTCGTTTGTCACCCTTATCCTATAAAAAAAAAAGAAAATAAAAATAAATAATAAAATGGTCAAGTTTTTGGATAGTCTGGATCCCTCCTGCCATTGCTCTCTGTCTGTTTGTAAATTTTCGTCAGAGTTGGTGCATTTACTCCAAAGATTAACTCGGACAGACAGACATACAAAAATTTGCTTGATAATGGTTATTTTTGCCTTATTAGTATGCAATTACTCCCTGAGCTTAATATAAGTTAGTTTCTTTAATATTACAGACAGACAATTCAATTTTATTTATATGTATATTATAGATTAATTTGCAACATGACCAGATTCGCCTTTTTAAGGCATTTTCAAAGGTTGTAAACATTTATCAGCGGCAGCAGACCATATAACGCGGCGGTAATAATTTGCGTTTTTGTATAAATGTCGGCGACGACTGGAATTCGAACTCAGTACCTATCCAAGATTCTAGGTGATGCGGTCACAGCGTATCTAAGTATAAAAAACTTAGTTCACTCCTTGTATTGCTCTCTACCTGTTTATGAAGTTTCATTAAATTCGGTCTAGCATTTCCGAAGATTTACTCAGACAGATAGACAGACAAAAGTTTTAAAAATGGTTATTCATGACGTCATTAACATGCAAATAACCCCCTCAGCTGAAAATAAGGGAGCTATTTTGATATTACAGACAGACACTTCAATTTTATTTATATGTATAGATTTCCGACGTTTCGAGTACTTTACAGCACCCATGGTCACGGGGGACTGAGGTGTTCGACGTCCCGATGTCATAGTTAACCACGACAACGTTCAGTTCAAAATTAGCCTCGTTACGTCAGTTTAAAATTATATCGGGAATAAAAAAATAAGTTAATTAAATGCCATAAAATCCGTAAAAACTAGTTTAATTCATTAATTGACACAG